GCCCACCACCACCACCACGATTAAAATAAATCCTAGGGGAAACCCTGGGTAATTTAAAACATTTACCTGAAGGTATAAGTTGTAATGTCCTTTGTGATTCAGCTTGATTTCCTTTGTACTGCACGGCTGCAACGTTCTGTGAGATTCATATGAGAGGTATCAATAAGTTTAGCTGCCTGTTTGATGAATCTGGTGAGTTTTTTTCTTGTTTTTGTAAAGTTAAACCATGACAAGATATTAAATATAAGGACTGGTTCTATGAGTGACAGGTAGTCTATAGGTAAGATGTCCTGTTTGACCTTGAAACCCTTTAGCCTTCTCAGGAGAAACATGTTTTTTTTTTTTGTTAAGCCCATCTACATGTTGTGAGGACAGGTGACAGTCAGTCTAAATAATTAAATTTCTTTCTTTCTGAGTTTCATCTATAAATAAACTAAATGTTTCTCAGTAGAACTCTCTCTAACGGGTTGTTGGTGTGTTTCCAGGGATGTTTGGCCTGGTGTTTGGCCTCTTTGGGATGTTAGCCTACGATGGGGAGAGRGTGAGAGAGTCGGGGATGTTTCAGGGCTACAACACCATCACCTGGACCGTCGTAGCCCTACAGGTAACCATTACTCCTGACACACAGCGGGTTTGCACGATAGCCGTCACATRTCACATAACAGACTGAGTTTTTGTGGAAATCGACTTTGTGTTGGCCCCTTCAGGTCAGGCCTTTGTCCATCTGTGCCTGTGTGTTTGTTGTTTCTCCAGGCTCTGGGTGGTCTGGTCATAGCAGCGGTCATCAAGTATGCAGACAACATCCTGAAAGGCTTTGCTACATCGCTCTCCATCATCCTGTCCACACTTATATCCTACTTCTGGCTGCAGGACTTCGACCCTACGAGGTAAAACAACCAGTCGGTTTTTCCTTTTCGTTGTTGATTGTATTTCCGGAGCTCACGGTGGCGTTTGTTGCAACATACAGCGTGTTCTTCCTTGGAGCCATTCTGGTCATCGTGGCTACTTTCCTATATGGCTACGAAGGCAAGCAGAGCCCCAACCCCAGCAGGGCGTAGGCTGACTCTCCGGCAGCCGTGGGAGGTCGTGTCGAAGCCTCGAGTCGGAGGGCAGAGAGGCTGATGGGAAAAGGAGGGGAAAGGTCTTCGTCACATMCTGTGATCAGAGGAGGAAGAGCAGCAAAAGGTTCAAATAAATGCAAGCACAACACTGTGGTGGCTCTCACACCAAAGTGCCTCAGCCGTGAAGGATATGCTGTTTGTTACTGTCGCAGAGAGATTTCTGGGTGCCACGCCTACAGAGCAGGAGCGATGTTACCAAGTGATGGTGTTTGTTACGAACCAGTCTGACTGCCAGTCACACCTTCACTACAACCGCTCACACAAACAGACTGCAGGATGGGCCTTCAGGAACAATGTAGTTATTGTTTGTCTTGTTCAGTTTGTATGTCTGGTAGCACATTTCAGGGTCAGATTAACTCACCAAATTATTGTTATTTTCAGAGTTAGATTAACATGATGAGCTCTGACCCTGTTCACATCAACATGGAGGAAAACAAAGTTTTCCAGCTTCGTTTGCGCCTCTCATCTACACGCAGACGGCTTTTTGGTGGGAAAAAACATTCCGATTTTTGCTTTGCATACTTGATATTTGTACAAGCTCTGTTTTCGGTGCCTCTACGTAAAGTTGACAGAGATTAAAACCCCCGATGCCCCTTGCTCTTTATTTCTTTAAGCTGAGTTGTACATCTGGTCCCTTTATTCTAACTCTGCCGATATTAAACTTGGTCAACTATTGATTAATTTTACTGTCATAAAAGTCAACCATAGACTATATAATAGACCAAAGGTCCCCATCTTTTCTCATTAGACCCAGTTTACAGAAGCTGCCATGTTTTTGTTTTTGTTTTTTGTTGGTTTTTTTTAACCAGAGTCTGTGCAGAAGCAACATGAAGCTTCAAGTCTTGTCTGTCCTCGGCACACACTCATGACCTTTCTTTTAGGGTTGGGTGGTATTGATCATGTTTATACCGTGTTATATACGGTATTGTGGGGGTGGGGTGTGTGGGGTGGTCTGTAATTAATAATCAACAGTGATACGACTGCTTGTGAGCATTTACATTCATAGCTTCACATTCTACAGTCAGAGAGGCATGGGGAAAAAAGTTGGCTATTGCTGTCCCTCAATCTGAAAGCAGCAGGAGAGGAGTCACAGAATGACTTTTTCCCTTTTTTATGTCAAATAGATCAAAATACTTCCAACTACGACTTTTTAGGGTTTTAAGTTTCAAAATAATTGGACTCTTACCATGGCTGTATCCACGCTGCTGCATACTTCTAGCCAGTCTTTGTGCTGATAAAGTTTGCAGATATTTTCTTGTCTGCAGTAAGCAGCTCCTTGTCTCAAAAAGGAAAAATAAATAAATAAATAAATAAATGGTGGTCCCTGATGGTGTGAGTCAGCATTACACCTTTTCCTGAACCAGCAATTTATGTTTCTTTTCTTTATTTTAAACCTTGTTCGGACTTAAGAGGTGCATGGGGGGTGGGGGTCTGCTCCCACCTCCTCCTGTGTTTGTCTTCTGAATGAGCGGAGGTGGTCAGAACACCCATCAGTAACATTATGGAGCACCTTCTGAAAGAGTCTCGGATGTTTATGTCCCAGTTTTCATAGCAGCCTTGTGGAAATTTGGCGCATCACCTCACATGACTCATACTGTTATTCYTTTTAAACACTGTCACCATATTTTAATACGGCAGTATACCAAAATACCATCACACCACCAAAGCCTCCTTTCTCTAAGCATGAAATAACTAATTACTGCTAAAAATGCAGATTTAAACATGCAGCAGCAAGGTGAATCAACAGGAACCAGTTTTTTTTTCTTATTTCACAAGTTCTATATGGGAAGCTGGTCTCGTTTTAACTTCCTGGTTCTGCTCAGAGGTCCAGTATATAAAGTTAATGATGTCAACATTATTGCCACCAAGTCAAGCAGCATGGTTATTTATGTTTACTGGAAGTTTCTCTCAACTAGAAAGAGAATTTTTCTTTGTGCTGAAAACAAAAACCCTGTGGAGTTGTGTATGAAGGGCCTTAAGGTAAAAATGAGCTGTGGATAGCAACTTGTTTCCTATACTTTATAGTAACTACACCTTATTTAGCCTTATTTAAACCATTAATAAAGGTGTTTATTGCTTATTAAGTATGAATAATTCTTAATGATGTTTTCATTGTTAACTAACCATTTATTAATGAGTAGGTAYGACTGAATAAGGTATAGTTATAAAGTGCTACCCTTTTCTTTTTGTTTAATTAGGTTTAATGGATGTTTTTTGTTGTTTATTCGAAKGGAAGGAGCAGGAATGTCTTCAAACATAAAACMTGTCTCTGATTGGAGACTCAAATATTCAGCTGTATTTGAGGTGTTCAGTTTAWAAGCACTGGTCAAACTGATGTAGAAATCTTCTGTCTTCTTTTACCTTCAGAAATAATTTGTTCAAAAAAGGACGTTTTAGCTTGAAATCCTGCCACCCTGAATATTCATGGCACTTAAAATCTAAACTATAAATCTAAATAAACAGTTTAATCCTGTTTAACTGAACTGAAGTTACTTTTTAAAGCCAGTCTTGTTTGTTGTGTTTTGTTGTTGACTCTGTGGTGAAACAATCAGATATGTATGAGGGAATGTGTGATTTAATATTTGTTTTTATGTTTTGAACTACTTTTGGGAGAAAGCGAGTGTAACGATTAACTTTAGCTACCATGTCTGAATCTGTTAAARCAAAATAATAATTTATGAGAAAGGGTTATTGCTGAAGTTTTCTATCATGCAACACAAATGTTTGTGTTTTCTGTTCAGAGTGGGATGGGTTAATTTGGGGACAAATTAGCAGTTTTTGGGTTGAGTTTTATGTTTTTGTTGTGCAATAAAAGGTATTTGAAATCTGAAAGAAGTGTTCACACAAAACTAAAGTGCTTTTTTTTTACATTAAGAAATTAGTTAAAAATGTCAATTGAAACATTTGCTACTGAACTTTATCGTGTTCATGCATTTCTTACATCATTTTTTATTTGATGTGTTTGAATCCATGAAGAAGTCAGACCTGAGCTGACGAGCTGTAAACCTCATAAAGTGAAAACATTTACACTTTGAGAAGTTGGGCATTGTTTTTAATGAGTTCAAAAACACTTCGTGCAAAAGGCGGGAAGTTTAAATAAAAAAAAGCAAATGGACTCATGTCTGTTTCACATGAAAACACTGTAAAACACCATCAGCAACCTTTTTATTTTTATTTTTAATAAATCACTTTAATCTCACAAAGCTGAGATCTCTGCCTGATCTTTGACCTCACAGGTAAATAACACTGAATACTACAGATACCAGACTGCACCTCATCATCAAATTTATTTGTTTTAATTAGAAAAATTAGTTTTCTCTGTTTTTTTTAAAATAAAAAGTCAATTCTTACAGTCTAATAAAGACCCTCCTTCATTCTGTCACACATGCTGCTTTTTATGGTTTGTCTTGATTGTCAGATGTATTAGACGGCTCACGGTCTGCTCCCGAGTCCTGGTTCTGGACTCTGAGGCTCCAGTCCGTTGTCGCACTGAATAAGGTGTGTACACGTSGAAGGCATGAAGCAGCGTGAGAATCATAATGTGGTAACATTCATCTCAGAAGTTCAGGTTATTTTTACAGTTTGTTACTGAGGATGAATGAAGGAAACAAACTTTAAACATGATGTTCTGACTTTTTGTTTCAGTCCTTATCAACCGCTGGTCTCTTAAAATGTCTCAGAAACCAGTGGATTTGTTTTTATATTGTGCTTGAAGAAATAAGTGATTAACTGTTGGCGTCGCTCCAATTCAAACAGTGGAGTACGGATGTATGGAGGAAAGTTCACGGCAAAGTAAATTTGCTCAAGGTCATGAATAAAGTAACCTGAATTTAAGAAAATTACCACAGCTGATCAATATTAGCAACACAAAAATGGCAGTCAGTTTTACAGATAACGAACTAAAAATGTATGTGGTATGGTAGCTGAGAGTCGTTCATAAAACCTCCTCCACACACAGATCACGATGCCTGAGACTGAACAGAACCTTCTGAAACAGAGTTTTCTGTCATATTCCTACATGGATGATCTAAAACTGGAAAGAACGGTGAATATTTAGGCCTTTAATTCTTTATTGTTCATGGACGAATAGCAAAGGAGAGCGTCAACTTGTCTTTAAACTGTTTTCTCTCCAGCTCCAGTTTATTTACAAATGATGGGCTTCAGTGAACCAACCTGCCATACAGTCCCCCTAAAGATAATTTATCTTGAGAAATTAACTAACTTTGCTCATTTTAAGGCCCTGTCACGCTATAACGTTTGAAACAACTCGTGTTAACTTGTGAAAATGTAATGACTATATATCATTTATACAATCATATAAACAATATAATTTAGTATTTCAAAAGAGGCAAGTCATCCAAAACATCATAGTGTGACGGGACCTTTGAACAGAACTTTATTTTTGTTTATGGTTAAAATAAAATTAAAAAAATACAGCTCAAGCATTAGCATCCTAACCTGCTAATTTAAGCTGAATACATCAATTCTTTTATCTGTAAGGAGCATATCAGCATTGTTAGACTTTTGGTTTAATGATTTTATAGAAATTCTTCATATTTTCTTAGCAAATTATATGCGACAAATATTTAAACTCTAGCCTGGCCCTTGCCTTCCTGCGCAGTTACGCTCAATTCTAGTTTCCCTTCCTTGAACGAAGCAAAGTGAAGGTCTGGTTTTTATCAGGCTATTTAAACTCCTTCACTGCAACAGTTTCTATAAAAAATTGCAATGTTTTTGGATTTATAAATATAACATAAAGACAGCCTGTCAAAAACCTTGAAGTGATTCTAATTTAAGCCAATGGGGGGTGGGGTGGGGGGTGGGGGCGCACCGCTGATTGGCCCCAGCAGGTGCCACCCCCAAATTATTAACAAGTGGGTGAGGATCTTGCATTTTGTATTTGTTCTGTGATACAACTGTACTATATGCTCATTTTAGATGTGTATGTTTGAAATAAGATTAATAATAGTGGTTAGCTTAATCTGGGATTAGCACAGACAATCAGCATGTGATCATTCTTAGATACTCCTCAACAAATTTCATCGCAAGTCTTAATGACTGAATTATAGCATTTTAAATTCAACTGTGGTGGATTAAGGATAGGATTATCAACTGTGGAATGAAGGATTTTTTAAACACAAGTGTGAATTTTATCATCCATCACATCCTGTAGAGTCGAAGAAGCTGAAGAAACCTGAACGCAAGAGGACAACGTTCAGAATAATGTCGAATACTGCATGTAAACAATCCTGCATTTCAAATGTTTACAGAGGGAGATACACAGACACTGTGACAGAACAGTTTGCCACTTCACTACAAACCAGACCTCTTTCACTGGACTCGTTTAAGATTAGCGGATGTTTAAAAGTCAAATCAGTAATCTGCTAATCTGCAGGGAGGGAGCAACATATAAACATCTTGCGAAGATGTTCACTAAGATAAGGCCGATCCTAATTTTACATTTATTACAGCAGCATGAAAACACAGTAAAACAAGACCCAAAGGGTTGTGACATGAAGACATGATGTAACATGTTGCTGGTGTCCAAAATCTACATGTTTTTTTTTTCCAGAATAAAGGCTGATATGTTGTTCTGGTATTTATAAGGTAATTGTTTTAAAATATTAGCTGTGTAGCACAAAAAGTAATGAAATTTGTGTTTTGTAGATGATTTCTTTGTTGTAACAATGCTTCCTGGCAATAAATCTTAAACTGTTGAAAAGTCTGTTTATTTCCTTTTTAAATGGTGCCACATATAACATGTATTTGTGGGATGAGCTGTGGAGCTGAGTATGTGGGTTGTGCACATGGAAWTTTTGCCAAATCGTCTTTGCCAAACAGCTCATTTTGCTGATTTATTGACACTTGTTTTAAGCTTCTACCCMCAGATGCTGCCAATCAAGTGCTCTGTATAAGAATTATTGCCAAGAAGCATTGTCACAACAAAGAACTCATCTACCAAACACATTTACTGTAATTACTTTGTGTGTGTGTATTCATACTTGTAAAAAATGTAGCAAGAACTACTATTGCAGGTCTTCATGTATAATTATTAACTTTGCACAACTTTTTTTCAGTCCTGAAAGTCAAATTGTAATATTGTTTCATCCTTTTGCCCTGGAGGGAAACGTATCTGAGTTCGAAGAAGGCAGAACAAGATGAAGTTGCTGTGCAGTGACAAAAAAAAAACAAAAAAAAAAAACTAATCTTTCGTCTGAGCTTCAAATGGAAATGTGATGTGTGTGTGTGTGTGTGTGTGTGTGTGTGTGTGTG